TGGGCACGTCCTCGGGGTCACAGAGCTGGTGATGGGCACGTCCTCAGGGGGTCACGGAACTGGTGATGGGCACGTTCTCAGGGGGTCACGGAGCTGGTGATGGGCACGTCCTCAGGTGGTCACAGAGCTGGTGGTGGGCACGTCCTCGGGGTCACGGAGCTGGTGATGGGCACGTCCTCAGGGGGTCACGGAGCTGGTGGTGGGCACGTCCTCAGGGGGTCACGGAGCTGGTGATGGGCACGTCCTCGGGGTCACGGAGCTGGTGGTGGGGCAAGCCATAAAGAGTGGAACTTGCTGATTGTGCAGACGTCTGTTGAATCTGTGCCTCTTGAATTTTGCTGTGCACAGCTCATTTAAATGGGAATTCTGGTCTGATTTTGAGTCACCATAGTAAGAGTGCAAATGAATTTTTCCTTTTCAGGTATTTCTCCAAAGTTAACCTTTGAAAATTACACTGAAAAGATAGTCCCAGAGGGTTGTTTTCAGGTGGATGAGAGTATGGTCAGTGTCGTCTGTTGTTTTCAGGTGGATGTGTGAGTGTGGTCAGTGTCATTTGTGGTGGCGGGTTGTTCACAGCTGTTGGCCTCTGAGCATCTAGCAGCCTGGCGTGCGTGTTCTGCTCTCAGCCCCACTTTTGGAGGGGGGTTTTGGGGCTGAGAGCCGGGGGTGGCGAGGGGGGCAGATGTGGCTCTAAGGAGAACCAGCATTGCGTGTTTATGAGTGTTTACCTGCATCAGGAGTGACTGCATCACTTTGTTCTGCCTAAAATTCCTATTTCTGTGTCTTAATCCTGTGTTTCTGTGTGTGCGTATGTGTGTGTGTGTGTGTGTGTGTGTGAGAGAGAGAGAGAGAGAGAGAGAGAGAGAGAGAGAGGGAGAGAGAGACCCCTTTTCATCGTATGTGCGTAACTGCATTGTTGTCCAAGGGCTGTTTGCAGGGGTCACATGGAATCCCTAGTTTTCATACCAAACTGAGACCCAAGTAACTTTGAAAACTTTCCTTTTTTTCCTGTTCGTTTTTTAAAATATAGGGAATAACATATTTGCTTAAATTGGTGATGTGTTATGCTGAGTATTCTTTATTTGACTGTTGAACCAAAGGAATAACCTCTTTTGGTAAGTTTCTATCCCGGGTGTCCTCAGGTTACTCTCCAGTATATTCTAAGGAAAGCTGTCCCCGTCTGATTTTAAATGTGGGCATTTGAGAAGGAAAGACGTGAAACCATGTTTTTACCGTATCACTCTGTAACAGTTGAGAGTGAAACTCTAGGATCACAGTAACATTTCTGTATTGCATTTTTTTTTTAGTAATTAATGTGGCTTTTTGATTTTGGAATAGGTTTCCTTTTTGAAAGGGCAAGTTTAGCATAAGTGTTGTAATTCACAGTGTCATTAATGCTTAATATTCTGTAAAGAAAATGTGCCAGGTCCCAACATACAGACTTCTCTAACTGGCCATCATGTCAGGGTCATTTCCTTACGAAAGACAAACAGCGACTTCCTTTAAACAGTGAGTTTCTCTTCTGCGTTAAATTTTGATTTGATTTACTAATATTTTTATTGAATAAACAAAGCTGAGATTCCTTCTCCGTGATATCCCCTGGGCTGC